ACGAGCTGCCAGAGGAAGTGGTGGAGGCTGGTACAATTACAACATTTAAAAGGCATCTGAATGGGGACATGAATAGGAAGGGTTTAGAGGGATATGGGCCAAATGGGACTAGGTCCAATTGGGATGCCTGGTCAGCATGGATGAATGGGACCCAAGGGTCTGTTTCCGTGCTGTACAGTTCTGTGACTCCATGCCAGTGAAGTCGCTGACAGTGCCATGAGTCTCTGACAGGGACTGGAGGTGGGGGTGTTGGGGGGTATTGCAAAGGAGAGGAGTTATCTTTGTGAAGGACCAGCAGAGGAATCACAACAACAGACCCTGCCAGCCTGGTTTGACGTTACCGTCCGGGTCAGTGCTGTCTCCAGGGTGCAGAGGAATAGCCATCAGTGCCATATGACGGTCAATGACCTTCTCCATTCTGTCATGGTTAGTTTCACGTTCCTCTGTGCCACCTCACCTTTCACCCTAACTCTGCTACTGCACTCACATCACACCCAGGCGCATGCATTTTTTTTCTCTTTATTCATTCAAGGGATGGGGGTGTTGCTGACCAGGCAGCATTTATTGCCCATCCCTAATTGCCCAGAGGGCAGTTAAAAGCCAACCACATTGCTGTGGGTCTGGAGTCACATGTAGGCCAGACCAGGTAAGGATGGCAGTTTCCTTCCCTAAAGGACATTAATGAACCAGATGGATTTTTTCCAACAATTGACAATGGATTCCTGGTCATCAATAGATTCTTAATTCCAGATTTTTATTGAATTCAGATTCCATCATCTGCTGTGGCGGGATTTGAACCCGGGTCCCCAGAACATTACATGGGTCTCTGGATTAACAGTCACGCGATAATACCACTAGGCCATCACCTCCCCCATTACCTTCCTCTCTTTCCTGCATTCTCACTCCAAACGACCTGTCACAGCACAAACCCTACCTGCCCTCTGTGCTGCCTACCCAGTCCCTCAGAACACCTCAGCCACCTTTTACCCATCTCTGCATCACAGCTGTGCCAACCACTTTCATGGCACTCAGTCCCTCTCTTTCCCACACAATGACAGACCATAACAAGGCTGTGAGAGAGCCCATATCCCATGGAGGGAAACACAATACTAGGCTCCTCACCCTCAGGAGGAGAGACATGTGGCCCTCACAAGAGGAGGGTGGAACTGCTGAGATGTCCCCGTCACACCGACACAGTCAGTTTTTCTCTCTTCATTCCACTGAAACTCTCCGAATGACCCCACTGTCAGAGTTACACACCACTGACCATTGACTGTGAAACAGCCAGATCCTCCAGACACCACCTCCTTGATTTCTGGGGGCAAGAGTAGTGAGCCTCACCGCCCTCTGCCCCACCTCCCCCCGCCGTCCCCATCCCCACCACACCCCCAACCATGGAAGAATCAGTATGGCTGTCTCCTGCATCCTTCACCAGTGTAGATCCTGGCACCTCAGTGAGAACGCCAGTCTTAAACATATGAACTGCTGCTGGCTAAAGGAGAAACATCCCAGGCCACTGAGTTTACCATGAAGGACCGGAGGGCATGGGCACCAGGGGCATGGGGAACTGGGGGCATGGGGAACAGGGGTCATGGGGAACAGGGGTAAGGGGGAGGCAATGGCCTAGTGCTATTATCACTGGACTGTTAATCCAGAGACCCAGATAATGTTCTGGAGACCTGGGTTCGAATCCCACCACAGCTGATGGTAGAATTTGAATTCAATAAAATATCTGGAATTAAGAATCTAATGATGGCCATGAGTCCATTGCCAATTGTTGGAAAAACCCATCTGGTTCAATAATGTCCTTTGGGGAAGGAAACTGCCATCCTTACCTGGTCTGGCCTACATGTGACTCCAGACCCACAGCAATGTGGTTGACTCTGAACTGCCCTCTGGGCAATTAGAGGATAAAAGCAGGGAGTAAGAACTAAATACTGCTGAAACAGGAAATCTTAAACAAAGCTGGAGAAAATGAACAGGTCTGAACAAGAGTCATAACAGACTCAAAATATTAACTCTTTTTTTCTCTGTCTCAACAGATGCTGCAAAACCTGCTGAGTTTCTCCAGCATTTCTCTGTTGTTGTGTAAAATTAGGGAGGTTTTGCTAAAACTATACAAGGCACTAGTCAGATCACAGCTGGAATACTGTGAAAAGTTTCAGGCCCCCTTATCTAAGGAAAGATAGACTGATACTGGAGGCAGAACAGAAAAGATTCAGTAGGTTGATACCAAGTATGGAGGGACTGTCTCATGAGGAGAGGTTAGGTAGTTTGGGCTTGTACTCATTGGGGTTTAGAAGAAAGATTCTCAGGGGATTGGAGAGGGTCTATGTGGAAAGGTTGTTTCCCCTTATGGGACAGTCTAGGACCAGATAGCATCATCTCAAAATAAGAGATCACCCATTTAAGGTAGAGATGAGGAGGAATTTCTTCTTTCAGAGGGGAATGAATCTGTGGAATTCTTTACCTCAGAGGGCTATAGACGCTGGGTCATTAAGTTTATTCAAGGCTGAGGTAGACAGATTTTAACTCAGGAAGTAAAAAAGGCGAAGTCACCACTGTCACACCAGACCATGGGGCTGCTCTCTCACTAGAGAGAGAGGCAACTGGTGGTGGCTTAACCTCTGGGTCACCATGCCTGCATAGCGACCTCAGCCAGTGCAGGAACTGAGCCCACATTATTGGCATCACACTAGTTCGGAGACCAGCTGTTCAGCCAACTGAGCTAGAAGAGCCCTATTTTTAAGGGACTTAAGGGTTATGGGGAAAGGCAGGAAAGTAGAGCTGAGGATTATCAGGTCAGCCACGATCTCATTGAATGGTGGAACAGACTTGATGGGCTGAATGACCTATTCTGCTCTTACATTTGACAGTCTTATGATCATTCTAACTGCTCTCCCTCTGCACCCTCCCTTCAGGCTTTGTATGTGGAAGAAACATACAGTGACATGTCACAGTAAATGGAACCCCAATAAGTCTATTCCTGGAAGGACATGTGCAGAAATAATTCTACGAATCAGTCCGTGGGCTCTCTGTGTCTCTGAAGGCTGCACGGTGAAGTGGCTGCTATCCAAGAGTTGCATCTGGATGGGCACAAATCCAAATAATCAGATGGAAAATATGGCAGGGATCAGATCAAATAGGTCTCAGATACCACAAGCAAGTCCTCATATGGGCATAGTATGCAAGGAATGGTACAACTCTCAGCACAAGTGGAATTAGCCCTCCCCAGAGTAACTTAACAGTTCCATGACGAAGTGTATCTCCTGCGTCATAAACAGCACCCCCTAAAGAAAGATATGTGACTCGTTTCCTGAAGTGTCACAGCTTCTGGTAACAATCCAAACTCAGGAGCATTTGAGAGCTGGTGTAGATGGAATGCTGAGGAAGCTTTCTGGATGTCCCTCATCATAAGGAACTGCAGGACAACACGAAAGCAACAGACTGACTGTTCATCTGTTGGCCCTGGGTGGCATGGTATCTTGCAGCGCCAGGGACCTGGGTTCAATTCCATCCTTGGGTGACATCTGTGTGGAGTTTTCACACTCTCCCTGTGTCTATGTGGGCTTCCTC